CAGTCAACCACTCAAAACCCATAAGTGGAGCTGTGGCCTTGAGCACAAAGAGGCTCTGAGTTCAAGCCCCAGGACTGGCAACAAAAACAAAACAACAACAACAACAAACAGATTGCTGCCATTCAACCGCGTGCTCAACTTTTCACTTATTTGTTAGAGTAATATTAATGCCATCGATTCTAAAAGAATACAAATGAGCAGGTAATCAACTGTTTAACAGCTCTGTGTTTTGTTGGAAGCTTTAACATTTAGAGACCTCATTTAGAAAAGTTTCACCAAACCATAGCAATAGAGATAGAGACAGTAATGCAAACAGGCACTGAAGTCAGCTCTAACCTGAAGTCCCACTTGACTTACTGGATAACCTGGGCCAAGTCCTGATGAGCCCCACAGGTTCCTTATCCGCAGAATCTGCATCATGAGTGTCACCACCTTTCAATGGCACTCTATGAGGTAATGTAAGTAATGTGCTGGGCAGAATAATGAGTGCATACATAATAAGCATGATATAACTGGTAGTGACTCTGACAGGCATGGCTAGTTCCAGATGATAGCCCCCTTTTCTTTCACATTGGCAGAATTTTCATTTAAAAAGGGAGGGGGGCTAGAAATGAACTGGCTAGCTAAAAGACTACAATTCCTAGAACTCTTTGAGCTGGATGGGACCCTTCTAAATCCTGATCAATAAGATACATGTGAAAGGCAATGTAAGACTTGCATTATGTCTCCTTAATAGACGAGGGACTTTCTTTTCTTCCTTTCCTCCATTCTGTTACCAAGAAGCAGAGGTAATGGCTGGACTCTAGCAAATACAGTATCTGGTATTATAACAGCAGATACTGCACCCTGGATTAGGAGAAGCCCCATGGCTTTATGTAATTTCTGCATCAACTCCAGGCTGCCAATCTTTGGACATCTCTCATGAGTAGGGGGATATAAACTTCTGTCTTGATGGTGCTATTATTGTGAGTGCTTCTGTTACTTGAGGCCAAATTAATCTTAACAGTTTTTGTTGCTCCTAGTGGTAGTCAAAATGTCCAAATGAAGTTTTGAACCCATTTTGAGGGCTCATTTTTGCAAATAAATGGCAAAATAGGACATAGATATAGAAAAGGAGCTGCAGGTCTTCAAAGCTATTCATCCTGTCTAGATTAGTCTTGATTGGATGGAGAAGTGCCTAGTAGATTAAGAAAGCACACCTCTGGGCACATCCATGAAGGGAACTACAGAGACGATCCACAGAGAGTGGAAGATCCACCCTGAATGGGCGTACCAGAATCCCAGAGGCTAGAGACCCAGTTGGAAAAAAAGTGAAAGAAGAGGAAGTCCATTAGTGCTGGCATTCTCTCTGCTTCCTGACCACCATGAAGTAAGCAGCTCTACACTGTTACACTCTTCCCATGATGCTTTGCCTCACCACAGGCCCCACCCTTAAGGCCAAAGAAGTATGGACAGAAACCTCTGAAATCATGAACCAAAATAATTCTTTCATCTGTTTAAATTGCTTCTTGAGTGGGCTGGGAAGGTGGCTCAGTGGTAGAGTGCTTGCCTTGCATACCTGAGGCCCTGGGTTCGATTCCTCAGCACCACATAAGCAAAATAGAAAAAAGCCTGAAGTGGTGCTGTGGCTCAAGTGGTAGAGTGCTAGCCTTGAGAAGAAGAGCTGAGGGATAGTGCCCAGGCCTAGAGTTCAGGCCCCACAACCGGATCCAAAAAACAAAATAAAAATAAATAAATAAATAGCTTCTTGAGGTATCTGTTAGAGCAATGAAAACTTTAACACATACCCCTTTCAGAGGTCACTCAGATGCCAGCATCTTATCCTGCTGACATGCCCAGGGTGGGTCTCATGCTCTATCATACATTCTATGCTCTGCCATTACACTATATTACCACATATCATAGAATTGGGGCTGATCAAACTAAGTTCATATTAAAGTATGAGTGATCATACGGCATCTCACTTTCTTTGCCTTTCCAGGCACTTGTATTTTATTGAGACAGTCTTCTGACCATTGCTTTGGAAGCTATATTTTAAGATTAAGGAAGTCCCTAGATTAGATTGTCAACTACCACTAATGGTGACTGTAACTTAAAATTCTTCACTGGTATGGGGTTTGTAGTCTTCATCACAACTCCCACCGAGTTTGGAGTGAATGAGGAGTGCCTATTAGTTTGTCCAGGCAATTAAGCAGAAACTGCAGTTCCCTGAGGCCACACACACACACACACACACACACACACACACACACACACACACACACACACACACACCCCTGATACCTTGGTAGTCATTATTATATGCTTTATGCAATCATCAGGAGGTCATGTTTTCATGACCAAAATAACAGTCAGTGGCTGAATAGAACATCTAAATTATATTCTTTCAACTCAAGGTCCACTGTTTAAATACATTCTCCCTTCACTCCTTCCTAGTGTAAAATAAGCATATACACCACACAAATTTCATCTGAACAAAGTCAGCATATCTAAACATAAAGCATAAAAAGAGGCCAAACAGAAGAGAGGTATGAAGTTTTCTCCCAATGGAAGGTGACCTCTGGCACCAGCTGGGTATGCTATCTGGTTAATGTCAATTTTCCTCCCCGGGAGCTCTAAGTGATCTACAGACAACACAATTAAAACTTGTCTCCTCTGTCCTTTAATTCCTTCACTGATTCTGAGAGGTGAAATCACTCTGACAGGGTTACTCAAGACTCTGAGAGCCTTTTCCAGAACCCACCCAGCTCCTTTGGGCTTTCACAGTGATGTGATTAGAGTTTTGAGGTTGGCAGCTATTTTGATCCAAATCTAACTGCTAACTATCTAAATGCCATTGATAAAAACAGAACTAAGAGAATTTTCACTCAATGAAATTTCACTCACTTCTCTCTTATTGAGACAATACTTACTTATGCTATCCTATGGATTTCCCTAATGTCCCGAGAACTCTGATCAGGATAACTGGTTTCAGACCATAATCAACAGGTCATGTGCACAATACTTTAAAACCAGCAGACTTGTTCTGCAAAGTACTAGGTATGGGTTTATATTTATAGGTAAAACAAAGCCTAAGCCAAGATAGCCACATGGAAAATATCATAAAGCTTAAAGTAGTTCAATGAAAGACAACACAGTCATTCTGCTTGTTCTAGTTGGGAAGAGTCCAGAGTCACAATGCTCATTGAATGTTTGAATTATAAGGTGGTTACAACTGTTTGGTATCTTTGCTTATCAGAAATTAGTAAATCAGCATGGACAGGTTATTGGCTTGTGACATCTATAACTCAATTTATTAGGTATTTGGTATATGAATATGCCTAAGGATCTTGCATGTTGCATGTAAATTAACAGTTTCTTTCTTTTTTTTGCGGGAGGGGCGTCTGGTCATGGGGCCTGAACTCTGGACCTGGGCGCTGTCCCTCAGCTCCTTCAGCTCAAGGCTAGCACTCTACCACTTGAGCCACAGCGCCACTTCTGGCTTTTTTTCTTTTTGCTTATGTGGGGCTGAGGAATCAAACCCAGGGCCTCAGGCATGCAAGGCAAGCGCTCTATCACTGAGCCAACTTCCCAGCCCTAAATTAACAGTTTCTAAAGGAGGAATTAACACACAGAAATAACCAGTTCCTAAGTATAGATGTAGTAGATATGTTATATTAAAATATAAATTATACACACATTAAAAAACCCTTATAGGAAGTGGCGCTGTGGCACAAGTGGTAGAGCGCTAGCCTTGAGCTGAAGAGCTGAGGGGCAGTGCCCAGGCCCAGAGTTCAAGCCCCACTACCGACAAAAAAAACCAACAACAACAACAACAAAAAAAAACAACAAAAAATACCCTATAAACTTTATAAAGTACATTTTATAAAGCCATCACTCATCTTATAAGTCTAATTTAGTTTTCTTTAATTAGTAAGTATCAATGGAGCATAAAATGTAATTTCTCAAATTATATTTTGCACCCATGGATTTTCAGGAATAAATGAAATTTATTTAAAAAAATCAAGAAAAATATTGTAATAATAAGTTTCAGGTATAATTTGCCTACAAAGAAAAATTCAAATCATCTTGTGCCATGAAAATATAAATACTTGTCATTAGTACAAAGTAATATAACTCATTTCTCATTGTCATTTTATTCTCTTAAAAATAAAACTGCTGAAAAACTCCCCAAAGCAATTTATATTTAAAAATATGACCAAATAAAAACTAAAATTTATGTGATATATCACTAAATTCAACTGGCAGTATTTCTAGTATTAGATTATTTAGACAAAGTAGTTTCAAATGATTTAGCTTATTATATACAATACTCTAAATAAAATCAATCAAACTTGTGAGTCAAATAAGGCATACTAATGCATGAAAGGTAATACAAATATTTACACACAAAAAAACAATTCATTGAACTGAAATAAGGAACAAGTAAAGCAACTCTAGTATGCACATCTAGACCTGGATATATGTATAGATCCCATATAAATCAACCAGTTAAAAACAGTTCTTTAACTCAGGAGGCTGAGAACTGAGGTCCTGGGTAGGAAAGCCTGTGAAATTCTTAATTACCAAGAAAGCAAGAAGTGGAACTGTGGCTCAAGTGGTAAGGCATGAGTTTTGAGCACAAAAGCTGTGGAGCAGTGTCCAGGTCCTGAGTTTAAGCCCAAGGACCAGCGCTCGCATGTACACGTGTACATGCATGCACACACACAAATACACACACAAATACCGTTTATGATTAAGGCATCTGTATTTTCTTAAAGAATGTTAACTGTATATGTGTATGCATACTAGACACATACTCATGCAAGCATGTGTGTGCATGCATGCACACAAACACACACACACAAACACACATGAACACAGCTTGGTCTCATTATTTAAACCAGATGAGCATGTAGCAGCTCTATAACTCTGCGAGCAAGTTCTCAAATGAGCATTGCTTCTACAAACCAGAAATCCGAACCAAGAACCCTTACAAAGAATAAAGACCATGTGCTTACCGTGTAAAGCTCATTAAGAACCTTCATTAAATCCTCATGAAGTTGGAATGCAATCTCTTTGCTCTGTAATTAAGAAGAAATTAAGGAAGAACATTTAAAAACATAATAGAAGATTGCTACTAAATTATTTGTATCTTAGAAGTCTACTGACTGAAAATAAAAGGATATGAAGAACATAAAAGAAAGTCTTGCTGGAAGTGCGCTGTGGCTCAAGTCGTAGAGCGCTAACCTTGAGCACAAAGAAGGGACAGTGCCCAGGACCTGACTTCATGCCCCAGGACCAGCCTTCCCCCTTCCCTCCCCAAAAGAAAACCATCTAGTCCCTGATGTAACTAAACATTATCACATGAATGGCCCTTCCTAATACCAAGTGTTGTGCTCTGATGGTCTCTAAGAGCTGGACATAAACAAATCGTTAGAGAGCTTGGGCGGCCCCCAAGAGCCACATCAGACTGTAAAAAGAAAACATAGTATCATGCTTGTAGAGAAGTTGTGCTACAGGACTAAAGTCATTAAGATGAACTTGAGCTGGGCAGAAGGTACACGTCTATAATCCCAGCATTTAGGCTGAAGCAGGAGAATCATGAGTTCGGGCCAGCTGAGATATACATTAAAAAATGAAGACAAAAAAGAGAAGATATATGCATTATTCTAATCTGTTAGTAAAAAACAAACAAACAAAAAGACATTATTTAAAACCTGAGACTGGTTGCTCACATCTGTAATCCTAACTACTCAAGAGGCTTAGGTCTGGAGGATCATGGTTGGAAGCCAGCCCAAGCAGAAATATCCATGAGATTACATCTCCAAAATAAACACCACTATGGGTGCTAGACTGGAGATGTGGCTCAAGTGGTAGAGCACAAGTGGAGCAAGCAAGAAACTCTAAGTCCAGCACACAAGTATTCAAAAAGCTAATCTTTCCTAGGCTCATTCTGAGAGTTTGCTAGAGGAAAATTCAAATATTATTCAGAAAGATCTGTAAGATATTTTCAAGGAAATCACATCTAAACAACTTTATGTTTCTCTTTTGCATTTATTATGTAGTTGGCTATACAGAACAGAAAAAATGTGTAACAGAGCATTAACTACAGGTGAAGCAGTAATGAAAGGATCCATGGGTTCATTTATATATCTTCCTCTGGGCAGTCCAGTGATTCTGAGGGCCAGCACCGTATCTTTACCTGCTCTGCCTGGGCAAATGGGGATCGATCAGGAGACATTCAGTCTCCCTAGCACTGGCTTTGTGTGGGTACATAGGAAACTTCAACTACTTTCTAAATGACTTCAACAGCAATCTGAAATGTTGTGGCTTGTCACAGAAGAAGCAGTCACTGTATTTGCTGAAGTCATTCTATCTGCTGGCCATTACTGGAGGGTAAAGAGAAGGCTTCAAGAAAACACTGTTTAAGCTGGGCACTGGTGGTTCTTGCTTATAATCCTAACTACTCAGGAGGCTGAGATCTGAGGATCACGGTTCAAAGCCAGCCCGGGCAGGAAAGTCCGTGAGACTCTTATCTCCAATTAACCCCCAGAAAACTGGAAGTGGCGCTGTGGCTCACATGATAGAGTACTAGCTTTGAGCTGAAGAGCTGAGGGACAGCGCTCAGGCCCAGAATTCAAGCCCCATGACAGACAAAAAAAAGGAAGGAAGGAAGGAAGAAAGGAAAGAAGGAAGAGAGAAAGAGAGAGAGAAAAAACTGTTTAGCCGAATGCTGGTAGCTCATGCCTGTCATCCTAGCTACTGAGAAGCCTGATATCTGAGGAGCAGAGTTCAAAGCCATCCCAAGTAAGAAAGTCTGTGAGACTTTTACCTCCAATTAACCACCAAAAAGCTAGAAGTGGAGGTATGGCTTAAGTGGTAGAGTGCCAGCTTTGGGGGGAAAAGAAAGCTAAGGGTTAGTGCCCTGTCCCTGAGCTTAAGCCTCAATAAGGGCAAAATAAAACAAAACTAATGAAAAAGAAAACACTGGAATTCCAAAGAACCAGAGTCCATTAGCAACCATGCAATTACTGGGCCAGGCCTCATGAAAGGCCAAATTGATGACAATTCATGGAAGATGACATCAGAGCAGTAGTGAAGCTTTGAGAAGTTCAAATTGCATTAGCATCATCTGTAACTGGGTTTTTTCAGAGTTCTGAAGATGGCATTTCCCAAGCTCTGGCAGTTTCTCAAATGGCTGAATTAGAGCTGATGCTGAGGATGTGGGTTTCCTGTCACTCCAGAGTGAAAGAAAAATCACAAGTGGTCAAAGGAGAGCAATTGACATTCATTTCATTTTCCCCAAATGTGGTCATGCTGAATGTAAACATTGAACTAGAGTCTTCTAGGACTGCAGCTTGGTGATATTTTATTATTATTATTTTTTTGGGGGGTCCGGTAGTGGGGCCTGAACTCTGGGCCTGGGCACTGTCCCTCAGCTCTTCAGCTCAAGGCTAGCGCTCTACCACTTGAGCCACAGCGCCACTTCCGGCTTTTTTCTTTTTGTTTATGTGGTGCTGAGGAATCGAACCCAGGACCTTGAGCATGAAAGGCATGCACTCTACCACTGAGCCACCTTCCCAGCCCATTGGTGATATTTTAATATTGGGTTTCATTCACATATCCTAGTCATCAATTTAGAATTCCCTAATGAGATCAAAGGTCACCAAAGAACCCTTCTCAACAACCCATATTTCAGAGAGCAAGAAAATACTACTTGGCTAAGATTTCAGAATAACAACAACAACAAACCCCTTGGGTTCAATTAACTTTAAGCCAATAATATTTAGGATCACATGAAAGACTTAGGTTTGGGGTTTTAAGAAGATTTATTCTTTGTAGAGTCCATATTTTATAAGCCTTCAGGTAAGGAGACAGAACTCATAAACAGGTTGGGTTAGGCCAACCACTCACTTATATTTTTCTTTCACCTTTGTTTCCAGGAGCCTTAAAATACAGAATGCTTGTCTGCAAAGTAGCATAAGCATAATGCTCAGCAACAAGGATTTTGGAGTCAGCCTAATCTGAAGTCCCAAAGACTGGATCTGCTTCGAGCTCTAAAATGAGTAGAGTCCATGACCCTACCCTATAGGGTTGATGCAAGTTTAATGAGACAATAACGCATAGCACCTGGATGGTACCCAGTACATAGGAAGTATTCCATAAACGTCATAGTAAGTTAATTGTCTCTAGGCACTGTTTGCCAATGTACATCCTCCTTGAGGGAAGGGGCTAGGTCATATTTTCCTTTATTTTTTTCTTTTATGGCACTTACACCATGGACATCCATGTAGGAAGTCTGTGGATGATATTCGTTGGTTGGAAGCCAGCCTGGGCAGAGAAATCTGTGAGACTTCTATTAACCAGAAAAAAGCTAGGATTGGAGATATGGCTTAAGTGATAGAATGTCAGCTTTGAGTGAACAAGACAAGCAAGAGTTCAAGCCCTAAGGTGAGCCTTGGTGTCTTATGCCTGTGTGTGTGTGTTTGTGTGCATGTGTGTGTGTGTGTGTGTGTGTGTGTGTGTGTGTGTGAGAGAGAGAGAGAGAGAGAGAGAGAGAGAGAGGCATATGTATACAAATATCCAAAGTTGAATTACAAACCTATTTCCAATTATTTACTATTTATTATGGTACTTTAATTATCTCAAATATCAATTCAAAATGGATGCTTCCACAGTGTTGATCTGTTTCCATTTTGAAGATGAATTAGGTACACTGAAGAATATTGGGAAAATTGAGAACAGAGGGACTGTCATTAGGACAGCGCATTTCTTTTCAGTTTGTCATCTACTGTCCACCATCAGTTTCAGGCCTCCCATCCCAGGCTTTTTTTCCCTGTGTAGATTCTCTCCCTCTTTCCACCCAATGTGTGCTAGTCTGGCTTGTAAGTTCTCCCTGTCCCTAAGAGAAAAATTAGATCCTCTATTCATTGTAATTTTTATATTTCATTCATTTATCACCATCCTGGGGCACATAATTCACAATCCTTTCTTTTCCTCAACAGAGAGGTTCCGTGAGAACAAAAATCAAATCCTCATTCTCTTTCAAGATCAGGTGCTTGGCACCCTATGTATGGGTGATGGGAATGATTGGGATCTGAGGCTGATTCAGGCTTGGTTTCCTGCCTCTACAGTTCAGGATCTCACAGAAGAGCCAGATAGGCCTACATTAGCCCATTTCTTTTTGTTATTGTTGCAATAGTGTTAACAACTAAAACCAAGGCTAGATAACTTCAAATAGAAAAAAAAAAGGTTTGTTGAGATTCAAGGACATGACACCAGCACTAGCTGGGCTCCGTGAGGACTTTATGGTGGATGGTATCACTTGGTAGGACACATGCTGGGGGGAAAGAATCATATGGCCAAACAAGAAGGCAGAAGTTTGGTCAGGGGTTTGACTCACCCCCTCATGAGAGCTGCTTAGGAGTCTGCCTGGAGCTCCTTTAATCCCTTCCCTGAGCAGCTTCCCCAATACCTTCCCACTAGGCTCCTCCTCCTCCTCTTTCTCCTCCCCTTCCCTCTCCCCCTCCCACCCCCCCCCCCCCCCCCCCAGGAATCAAACCCCTAGGCACAAAAGCAGTTCAAGGCTAGTACTCTATCACTTGAGCCACAGCACCACTTCCAGCCTTTTCTGTTTATGTCACACTGAGGAATCAAACCCAGGGCTTCATGCATGCCAAACAAGCACTCTACCACTAAGCCACATTTCCATCCCCATAGGCGCTGTTTCTTAAAGGCATCATCTCTTTTCACTTAGCCACACTGAGGGTCAATCCTCCAACACCTGAAGCCTGCAGTACATACCACAACAGCTTGCTCCCAGAAGTGCCACACTTGGCAGTGCCTGCAACCAGAGACCTGCAGGCTCAGGCCTGGGAACATCCCAGAAAAGAGAAGAAACAAAGGAACAAAGAGCATAATAAATACAAGCATCCGTGGGTACACACAGCAATCCATCAAGGAGCAACACAGTTGGATTTAATGACTGTCTAAAAGGCCTCTGGCCTCACACCGAGTAGCTTTAAAGTAAATCTATTGAGATGACCAAGGAAGAAGTTCTGACTCTATGCTGAGTCAGAGT